CGAACAAGTCCTTTGACGTTGATGATATATGTAAATTAATTAAAACATTTTAGTCCCTTATGTAGTTGGAGTTTATTCAGTTGTGAATTATTCTATGGCCGAAAACAAATAGACTAGTACTAATCAGATAATGGTTAGTCTATTTGACCTAAATTCGAGGGGAAAAAACATTAAAATAACAATGTATGTGGAATAATTAAAAAAATGGGGTTTTGGTAAGGGAAATGTGAAATTGTATGTACATATGTATGTGTTAAGTATTAGGGTCAATATATTATGTACTACTACTACTGTAACAACAAGTGTATCACTTTTATTAAAAATTGTATCACTTGGCAAAAATTTTTCAAAAAAATCTACGTCTAGTCCTTGGTAAAAATTCTTTAAAAAATCTACGTCTAGTCCTTGGTAAAAATTCTTTAAAAAATCTACGTCTAGTCCTTGGTAAAAATTCTTTAAAAAATCTACGCCTAGAACTCTTATATACCTTGGTAAAAATTCTTTAAAAAATCTACGTCTAGTCCTTGGTAAAAATTCTTTAAAACATCTACGTCTAGTCCTTGGTAAAAATTCTTTAAAAAATCTACGTCTAGTCCTTGGTAAAAATTCTTTAAAAAATCTACGCCTAGATCTCTTATATATACCTTGGTAAAAATTCTTTAAAAAAATCTACGCCTAAGGCCCTTATAGTCCTTTTTAAAAGCCTAGAGTCCTAATAGTCCTTGCCAAATATTCTTTAATAAATTCACGCCTAGAGTCCTAATAGTCCTTCTTAAATATTCTTTAATAAATCCACGCCTAGAGTCCTAATAGTCCTTCTTAAATATTCTTTAATAAATTCACGCCTAGAGTCCTAATAGTCCTTCTTAAATATTCTTTAATAAATCCACGCCTAGAGTCCTAATAGTCCTTCTTAAATATTCTATAATAAATCCACGCCTAGAGTGCTAATAGTCCTTGCCAAATATTCTTTAATAAATTCACGCCTAGAGTCCTAATAGTCCTTCTTAAATATTTGGATTTATTAAATATTCTTTAATAAATCCACGCCTAGAGTCCTAATAGTCCTTGCCAAATATTCTTTAATAAATTCACGCCTAGAGTCCTAATAGTCCTTGTCAAATATTTTTAGTAAATCCACGCCTAGAGTCCTAATAGTCCTTGTCAAATATTCTTTAGTAAATCCACGCCTAGAGTCCTAATAGTCCTTGTCAAATATTCTTTAGTAAATCCACGCCTAGAGTCCTAATAATCCTTGCCAAATATTCTGTAGTAAATCCACGCCTAGAGTTCTAATAGTCCTTGCCAAATATTCTTTAGTAAATCCACGCTCAGAGTCCTAATAGTCCTTGCAAATATTTTTAGTAAATCCACGCCTAGAGTCCTAATAGTCCTTGCCAAATATTTTTAGTAAATCCACGCCTAGAGTCCTAATAGTCCTTGCCAAATATTCTGTAAAAAATCCACCCCAAGAGTTCTAATAGTCCTTGTCAAATATTCTTTAATAAATCCACGCCTAGAGTCCTAATAGTCCTTGCCAAATATTCTTTGAAAAACCCGCGCCTAGGGTCCAAATAGTCCTTGTCAAATATTCTTTAAAAAATCCACGCCTAGGGCCCCTGTAGTCCTTGCCAAATATTCTCTAAAAAATCCACATCTAGGACCCCGCCATCCTTGCCAAATATTCTTTAAAAATCCACGACTACGGCCAAATAATCCTTTCCAAATATTCATTAAAAAATCGGCGCATATTGCCTTAATAGTCCTTGCAAAATATTCTTCTTACGTTAATAATTTATTTCCTCGAGTCAAGTCCATTGCCATAATAAAATGTTAAACCTCATATAGCAATCCTATTTCCCCCCATGTCCCTATCATGATATTCACTTGCTTTCTATTCAAATATTTATTGTTCGGTTAGAATTTCTAACAATATCACTCCAAGTGGAATAGCCTTTCTATGGAATCGTGAAATAGTCTCAATGGCAATTCGCATACCCATGGTAACAATGCCATTTAAGGATCGAAGTAAATGCATAATGACGGCCACTTTATCACTATGCTTTTGTGAAGAAAGGACACACAGAACATACAGTGGATGCAGTTGGTTTGGTATATTTTTAGAGTCTCTGTTATGGTTGGTTTAGCAGTTAACCAGGATGTTTTCTATGCAATGAATGGAAATAATGTCTCTTCGCCTCTCCCGTGTTTCTCTTGTGCATCCAACAATTGCAGTAGCATAATTTCAGCCCATTTTTTGTCTGATAGCAATTTTATGTCCTTTCGTATTAATGTGACGACAAGGACGACGATGTTGGTGCTTGGCATTGCTGCCGAATGTACTCCCAGTAAATAATCACATCTAACATCCGTTCCCCGACCATAACGACTACTTAACTCCACAGGGGTTTTGTCGATGGTGGGATTTTTGTTTTTTGCAATCCAGTGTGTTCCGTTCCGTTCAGTATAGCTATATAGTACACTAGCCATTTACCATTCTGGAAGGCACACCCACCATCCGAGCTGATCCTTTGGCCTGCTACAAATTGAAGCGAAAGTAATGCAATTAAGCATGTTTTCTCCGCTTTATTCTCTCGTAATAAATAAATGGGGTTTGGAAAGTTGAATAGGAATTTAATTAAATGTCCGTAGTTTAAATAATGGATGAGGTTCCTTCTTGTTTTTTCTTTTTTTGTGGTAGTAGTTGTTCTTGTTACTTTGTTCCAAAGAATGAAATAATAATTTTATATGTGTGTACGTATGTATGTGTAATTGTAATTTTTCTATATTTATTCCTACAGTATAATACTGCTGCTGTTCTTGGTTATTTACTTCATTTATTGTTTTTACCAAGACTAGGGAGACTCACGTATTGATAGCTAAGAATAGAAACATTAAAGAAAGATATTCGTTTGGGGATTAGTTGTAGGGAATCCTTAAGGTACCCTGTAAAGGTCAATATAAATAGAATGGTCTTAAACACATTTAAAGTTTGAAGTAAATAAAAAATCCATCCATAAACGATAACGTACTCTTTATTTATTTTTTTAAATACACATCTAGGAACCTGCAAGTCCTTGCCAAATATTCTTTAAAAAATCCTCGCCTAGGAACCTGCAAGTCCTTGCCAAATATTCTTTAAAAAATCCACGCCTAGAAACCTGCAAGTCCTTACCAAATATTCTTTAAAAAATCCACGCCTAGAAACCTGCAAGTCCTTGCCAAATATTCTTTAAAAAATCCACGCCTAGAAACCTGCAAGTCCTTGCCAAATATTCTTTAAAAAATCCACGCCTAGAAACCTGCAAGTCCTTGCCAAATATTCTTTAAAAAATCCACGCCTACAGCCCTGCATGTCCTTGGTAAAAATTATTTAACAAATCCGCGCCTACAGCACTGCAAGTCCTTGCCAAATATTCTTTAAAAAATCCACGCCTAGAAACCTGCAAGTCCTTGCCAAATATTCTTTAAAAAATCCACGCCTAGAAACCTGCAAGTCCTTGCCAAATATTCATTAAAAAATCCACGCCTAGAAACCTACAAGTCCTTGCCAAATATTCTTTAAAAAATCCACGCCTAGAAACCTGCAAGTCCTTGCCAAATATTCTTTAAAAAATCCACGCCTAGAAACCTGCAAGTCCTTGCCAAATATTCTTTAAAAAATCCACGCCTAGAAACCTGCAAGTCCTTGCCAAATATTCTTTAAAAAATCCACGCCTAGAAACCTGCAAGTCCTTGCCAAATATTCTTTAAAAAATCCACGCCTTGAAACCTGCAAGTCCTTGCCAAATATTCTTTAAAAAATCCACGCCTTGAAACCTGCAAGTCCTTGCCAAATATTCCTAAAAAAAATACACGCCTCGGAACCTGCAAGTCCTTGCCAAATATTCTTAAAAAAATCCACGCCTAGAAATCTGCAAGTCCTTGCCAAATATTCTTTAAAAAATTCACGCCTCGGAACCTGCAAGTCCTTGCCAAATATTCTTAAAAAAATCCACGCCTAGAAACCTGCAAGTCCTTGCCAAATATTCTTAAAAAATACACGCCTAGGAACCTGCAAGTCCTTGCCAAATATTCTTTAAAAAATCCACGCCTAGAAACCTGCAAGTCCTTGCCAAATATTCTTTAAAAAATCCACGCCTAGGAAACTGCAAATCCTTGCCAATTATTCTTCAAAAAATCCACGCCTAGAAACCTGCAAGTCCTTGCCAAATATTCTTTAAAAATCCACGCCTAGGAACCTGCAAGTCCTTGCCAAATATTCTTAAAAAATCCACGCCTGGGAACCTGCAAGTCCTTGCCAAATATTCTTTAAAAAATCCACGCCTACAGCCCTGCATGTCCTTGGTAAAAATTATTTAACAAATCCGCGCCTACAGCACTGCAAGTCCTTGCCAAACATTCTTTAAAAAATCCACGCCTACAGCCCTGCAAGTCCTTGCAAAATATCTTTTCGAAGGATTCTTTAAAAGATCAATGTCTATGATTCCATAATAATATCTGAAAAGATTTCTTGGAAAAATCCGTACTTATGTCCCGGACACTACTTGAAAATTTGTCTTTAAAAATCCATCCCTATAACATGGAATCCCACCATCTTTCTCTCTTATCCCGCATCATATTTATTGCCACTATATTCGAAGTTTTGTGGCAGGATTACTGGCAAATGCCGAATTCGAAAATTATGCTTTCTACCGCAGAACAAGCATTTATATCAGTGTGTGTGTTTGCGAATTTTTCTTTTTTCTACCAATCCTAGTGTGAATGTCCTTAAAACATATCGCCGAATAATTGTCAGCTAGATACTCGTATGCTGAATGTGTTTTTGCGTGTATGTGTGTGTACGTAGCTTTTAACCGAATATTGGACAAATTATGTTTAAATTTCCATTTGTATTGCTCCATTGTCTGATGATGTCATGTTTTTTGTCTTCTTTTTTCTTCTCCTTTTTTCCCATCCATTTCATGTTGTTGTCTATCTGCCGGCAATTTGTTTTGCAGGTACCAGAACGTGTACGAGCCATGAATGCAAGCATAAAACTTTTGTTAATTGTCCGAGAGCCGGTGACAAGAGCCATTTCTGATTATACGCAATTACGTAGTCATGCTGCAACGGCCACATTACCACTGGCCAACGCCAATGAAAACCAACAGCCGCATCAGCAACAACAACAGCAGCAGCAACCACAGTCCTCATCTTCGGGAAATGCGGGCAAATTTTCCTCGCACTCATCGTCGATGCTCTATAACAAATTAAATGCCGGTTACTCTTCATCACAAATATACGACAATTCCATAGATGCTGGTGGCGGAGGAGGAGGAGGAAGAGGCGGTGGTGCAGGTGTCGGTGGTATTGGCCCCGGTAGTGGTGGTGGTCGATATGTGTACGGTTCAGGTGCCGGTAGTTTAAAGTCAGGCTATAATAAAAATGCACATTCAATGCGGCAATATGAAACGACAACACCGAGTCCTGCATCGGCGGCCGCGGCAGCAGCTCAAATTTTATCAAAGTAAGTTGTGACACTATTTTTATTTTAATATTTAAAGGCAAGGATGTACTTTCTGTTATCATACGGATTGGCACATTCTGTATTGGCACGTATGTTCCAATCTAAATTCACTACAAACATTTAAATGTTATTTTTGGAGCAGTCTATTTTCCATCAAAATAAAAAAAATAAAATTTTTTTCAAAGATTTATTTTTTGGTCCTCCTTTAGTCAAAAGCCTTTACTGAAGCTCTTGTTTTTTTACATATTGTGTTTTCTTTCATGTCTCGCTTCCAGCAGATCCTTTGAAGAGTTGGCCATTTTTCCCAATGGCACTGTTAACGAATCCTATCGCCCCTTAACCATATCAATGTATCATTTACATTTGCATCGTTGGCTGGAAGTCTTCCCTAGAGAACAGATATTGGTTGTCAATGGCGATCGTCTGATAGATGATCCGGTTTCACCACTATGGATATATTAAACAGGACTATTAACATGAAATTGGATGAAATAAAATATGTGATATTTATCTAAATGTGAATCTACCTATATATCCATAAGTTATATAAATCGACTTCAATCAAATATAAATAGGTTATCTGTTGGGCTATGTCTGTACTTCTAGAAAACGCAACTACGTAATTCTATGCTCAATTTTGTACGTTGTGCAAAATTTGATGTCAACCTGACTAGCATGAAGAGTTTGATGTCCAATTTACTTAAAATCGGGCGAAAATATATATGGAAGCTCTATCCAAATATATCGAAGGATATATAGGGACTTTGGTGCACCATTTACATGAAATCGGACGAAACTATATCTGAATCTGGGCCGATTTTCTCGAAACTGGGCAGACATCATTCTAGGCTCAATTCAGTACGTTATGCCAAATTTCCTGCAAATCGAAAGATATATAGGGACTTTGGGGTACCATTAACATGAAATCGGACGAAACTATATATGGGAGCTATATCTAAATCTGGACCGATTTTCGCGAAACTGGGCAGACATCATTCTAGCCTCAATTCAGTACGTTATGCCAAATTTCATGCAAATCGAAAGATATATAAGGACTTTGGTACACTATTTACCTTAAATCGGAGGAAGATATATACGGGAGCTATATCTAAATCTGAACCGATTTTCACGAAACTTTGCACACATCATTCTAGACTTAATTCAGTGCGCTATGCCAAATTTCGTGCAAATCGAAAGATATATAGGGTCTTTGGTACGCCATTTACCAAAAATCGGCCGAAACTATATATGGGAGCTATATCTAAATCTGAACCGATTTTCACGAAACTTGGCACACATCTTTCGTGGCTCAATTCAGTACGCTATGCAAATTTCGTGCAAATCGAAAGATTTTCAGGGTCTAAAGTCCGTAAATCGGGCGAAACTATATATGGGAGCTATATATAAATCTGAACCGATTTTCACGAAACTTGGCACACATCTTTCGTGGCTCAATTCAGTACGCTATGCCAAATTTCGTGCAAATCGAAAGATTTTCAGGGTCTAAAGTCCGTAAATCGGGCAAAAATATATATGGGAGCTATATCTAAATCTGAACCGATTTTTCCCAATTTCAATAGGGTTCGTCCTTGGGCAAAACAAATGAGCTGTGCCAAATTTCATCCAAATCGGATCATAAATGCGACCTGTACTTTGTTTACAATTTAACATGGACAGACGATTATTTTTGCCTGTTACAAACATATGCACAAAGACATAATACCCTGTACCACAGTGTGGTGAAGGGTATAAAAAACTGCAACAAAGTCAAGCGCCATAATTTTTACACTTTTTTTAAAAAATTATATTGAATGAAAGCAAAAATGTCGGAAATAGCTTCAAATTTTGGAATATATTTAGATTTGTTCAAATTGGTCAGCTTTGGCGCGAATTATGGCCTTCAAACGGCCAATGAAACCATCACACGCTGCCCGATTTTTGCTCTGCGGTATTTTGGCCCATTCCCGGCGAAGCGGTTGAGGTGATCGACACTTTGGTATTTTTTAGTGCCAACCTTGCTTTCCAAAATACTCCGCAATAGTCCAACGGATTGGTATCAGGAGATGTTGGTGGCCATTGTGCGCTGGAAATGATGCGAGGAACCTCATTTTGTAACCATTCATGGGTGGCGCGTCCACCATCGCAATCAGGACGGTCATGTTGGAATGTCTTGGAAGGCTTTAATATATCCTCCAGAATATTTTCGCGATAATATTCAGCATTTATTCTGATGATATCCGATTAATACGAGCGAAGAGTTATCATCGGCTGTTATGGCAGCCCACACCATTACCATGACCATTCTTGAGTGGCGCGTCCACCATCGCACTCAGGATGGTCATGTTGGAATGTCTTGGAAGGCTTTAATACATCCTCCAGCATATTTTCACGATAATATTTAGCATTTATTCTGATGATATTCGATTAATACGAGCGAAGAGCTATCATCGGCTGTTATGGCGGCCCACACCATTACCATGGCCGGCGCTTGAGTTTTGGTGGCCAAGCGAAGGTTCACATTTCAGCTAACCTCTATGGCAAGTAAACACGATCATATTGTTTGTTTACAAACTGCTGGACAACGAATGATTTCTCATCGAAGAAAACCAAATTTGGCAGTTCATCACTTTCGGCCATGCTCGTTAGCTCTTTATACCCTTCACCACACTGTGGTACAGGGTATTATGTCTTTGTGACAAACAGGCAAAAGGAAACGAGATAGACACATGGTTCCTTTTGAGAATATGCATAGAATCACTTTCTGTGTCGATTTATGCATGTCCGTCTGTCCGTCCGTCCGTCTGTCCATGTTAAATTGTAAACAAAGTACAGGTCGCATTTATGATACGAATTGGATGAAATTTGGCATAGGTCACCTTTTTGGTCCAAGGACGAACCCTATTGAAATTGAGAAAAATCGGTTCAGATTTAGATATAGATCCCATATATATTTTCGTCCGATTTAATGTAAATGGTTTACTAAAGACACTATATATCTTTCGATTTGCACGAAATTTGGCATAGCGTAATGGATTAGGTCTAGACTGCTGTGTGTCAAGTTTCCTGAAAATCGGTCCAGATTTAAATATAGCTCCCATATATATTTTCGTCCGATTTAATGTAAATGGTGTACCAAAGTCACTATATATCTTTCGATTTCCATGAAATTTGGCATAGCGTAATGAATTAGGTCTAGAATGGTGTGTGTTGAGTTTCCTGAAAATCGGTTTAGATTTAGATATAGGTCCTATATATCTCTCTTCCGATTTTATGTAAATTGTGCACTTAAGACCCAAAGTTTGTCCGATTGTCACACAAGTTTTATACCCTACACAACTATGTTGTCAGGGTATTATAGCTTTGTGCAGCCCCAAAAGTTTGTAACGCCGCGAAATATTGGTCCTAGACCCACCTTTAAGTATACCGATCGTCATATCTCGACTAGCTGAGTCGATCTAGACATGTGTGTCCGTCCGTCTGTCCGCTATAATTTGTAAACACGATACAGGCCACAGTTATGGACCAATCTTCACGAATTTTTGCATGTAGGATGGGTTCTGGCCAATGAAGACCCATATTGTTTTTGGTAAAGATCGGTTAATATATAGGGGATGAAATGGATCAAATACTAAATTTTTGTCGGTTTTTCTGGTCGCTCCAGAGGCCGTAATTATGGCGTGAACATCCCGAAATTTTACATGGAGAAGGGGATCGGGCCAAAGAATAAGCATGCCTGTTTTGATAAGGATCGGTCAATATTTAGTAGGTCAAATGGACCCTGACTTTTGTGTGATATATTTTTGCCCCTGAAGGACATAGACCCGAGAAGTTGATTGTATATCCAAGAGGAGTGGTTGACCTTTAAATTCATACCAATTATATGGTCGTACGTACTCAGATGTGGGAGTTACATTAAAATATTTTCAGATGCGTGCGTACTGAGATATTTAGTAACCCATTACCACACTTAAGGGCGGAAATATGGCGCTGATCGCTTGGAAAGTTTCCATGAGGATCCAGTTATGGGCAAGGACAACGCCTATAACTTTCGGTGATGATCAGACTATAGTTATGGGATGAAGTGGAGCGAATACTTAATTTTTTGGTATTTTTTCGAGTCGATGCCAATAATAGGCCGATCATCACAACACAACCCACGGTGAAGGGAATCTAGATAATTAAATAGAAGGGCTGTACTGAATATGAATAGTAATATTCGGAAAATATGTCCGCAGAAAGTTAGAATTCCGTGGTAGTTGTGTAGGGTATCGTATGGTCGGCCCCGTCCGACTATACTGCTCCGCTCACTGGTTTACAATGAACTGTAGTTAATATAAGTAAATTTCTGGCAAGTCCCATTGAAATCAGTTCATATATATATATATATATATAGCAACTCTATATATTATGGCCCAAAGTGGTGAAGGGTATCATATAGTCGGCCCCGTCCGACTTTACTACTTTCCTTACTGGTTTCAGTCTATTTTCTTTCTGTTCCATCACGAATCATTTTATTTTCTGTAAAATTCTTACCAAAATGCTTTTGTACGCTTGTAAACAATATAATGAGCTGTCACTGGTCAAACTTTATCACCTTTCGGACGAGTGACTTAGAAATGACAGCAGTCTGAAGTCGGTTGCAGTTTTTTCATCTCACCTTGTAGTTAGAACAATAAAATTTATTTTGTGTAAATTAAAATAAATAGCAGAATTTATAAAATGAATCATTTACTTCTTCTTCTACGTCGACAGGCATTGAACATCGCATTACCAACAACCACTTCTATTTCAATGAAACGAAAGGATTCTACTGTTTGCGTTACGATAGTGGTGATCGTTGTTTACGCGAAACGAAGGGACGTAAACATCCTCATGTTGATCCGGTGGTCATTTCGAAATTGCGCAAATTCTTTGCCGAACATAATCAGCGGTTCTATGAATTGGTTGGTGAAGATTTGGGCTGGCCCGAAGAATAAGAAAATCTCAATCGTCAAAGAAGAAAAATTACAGTGTAAGGATATGATGACCGCGTGTAAAAAATAATAATGATGTGTAAAAAATGTATGTATTAAACAAAGAATTATTTTTTTGTTTGTCGTAGTTAGACATTTCTCTGTATGTAAGAAAACAAAAAGGTGGAAATTGAAGATTGTAAAAAAAGAAACAAAACGATGAAAAAACCCAAAGCAAATGACAAATTGAGTTAAACTCAGACTGTACAGCATAACATGACTATGTTTTACGTTAATGATAATTGAATTTTTTATTTATTTTATTTTTTGTATGATATGTGTGTGAAACAGTGTGAGGATGTGTGTGTTAATTTTTTGTTATGATTTTTTTTATATTCAAGATATTTATTTTTTTCATTTGTACTTAATTATTACAAAACCGTGTGCAAACATAAATGCAAAAAAAACTGAAAGTAAATATAATTTACAAGATTAAAGTGGGATAGGATAGGCCATTACTTTTCAATAAAAAAATATTTTTTTTAAATTTTTTATTATTATTTTTTAAGGTAACACAGTGCAACAAAAATACAACCGGGGATTTAAAAACACATGCATTATAAGCATGATTAAAAAAAAACACAACCATTACAAGCTTACACTTTTTTTAATACTTTTAACCCTTTGTGGTCCGATTTCGCCCACAGGCAACAAAATATTTCAGAGCTTATATTTAATACGCAGCTAGAAAATTTATATTCTTGGGATTACATATGAACGACACATATCAAAAGAAAAATCTAAAAAATTCAAATTTTTGGTCAAGTTATACGCTTCTCAATATTTGGATAAGTGCAAAATTGTGTACAGTACCAATTAGCGTATACAGTACAAATTATTTAAATCGCCTCGTATTCCAAATGAACGAATTGTTCCCTCCAAATTATTGTTGAGTATTGTAAAAAAGTACCAAAAGAATAATTAAAAGTGATTTTTTTCGTCGATATCGCATTTGCTTTTCTTGACATTGGACTTTTATTTTTCAGAAAGAAGATACGGTATGGATGTAGCAATGTAAAAATTTTGTTCATACCCTATTTAGGAGAATTACATTAAATCTGTGCACAGAAAATAGTTCTATAGTCACAGGAAAAAATTCGGGACTCAAAGGGTTAAAAACGATATAATCAAGCGCGAATGAAAAAAAAAACAAGTGAAAAAGCGTTAAGTTCGACTGGGCCGAACTTTGGATACCCTCCACCAAAGATATACAGGTACTAGAAATGAAAATATAGGGAACATACCAAAAAGTGGACCTATACCGAAATTTCTGAAAACGGATTATGTAAACCATAATGTATACCATAATACAAATTTCAGAAATTTTTAATGGATAGTTATACCCTCAGCCTTATGGCTAATGAGGGTGTATACACTTTAACACGGTGAAAGTGTGCCTCATCGAAATATTGGTTCTAAACCCCATGTTTCTTTGGACCAAATCCGTTTCAGAAAATTTAGATTTCCTCCAAACTTTGCCCATCTTATTATTTCTTCCAAACTTAGTTCAAATTCGAAGATGGGGAATATCGGAGCTAGGTCTAAATGCGGCTATAGTTCATTATCGAACCTTACGTTCTAATTTTCTATCTCGCTATCCTCCGCAGGTGAAATGATTTCAACAGAGTCTTAGAACCAAACTCAAAACGTGGAACAAATCAGATAACTATTTTAATATAAAAAGGGGGTTATATGAGGACTACCCCAAAAAGGGGGCGAATATTAATAATTTTTGGTGGGGCGATTTCTTACCATATACGACTACAAAATACCAAATTGCAGCAAATTCGGCTGAAAACCGCGCTCAAGAACCCCAAAATACCGAAAATTGGAGGGTTCCCTTATATGAGGGCTATCCGAAAAAATTGACCTATATTCATAATTTTTTGTGGAGAGGTCAAATTACTAAATTACAGCTAATTCGGAGGAAAAATACGATAAAATCCCCCAAAATACTGAAAATTAGGAGGTACCGTTATATGGGGTCTACCAGAAAAAGTTATATGGGGTCTACCAGAAAAGTCTATTTATATATTGAAAAACGCGCTCAAGAACCCCAAAATACCGAAAATTGGGGTGTACCCTTATATGGGAGCTATGCCTAAACGTGGAACGATAACGCCCATCTTCGAACTTGTCCTGTCTGCAGACATAAGACGACTATATGCAAAATTTTGGCGATCTATCTCAATTCGTTTAGACGCTAGAGTGATTACAACAGACAGACGGACATAGCTATATCGTCATAGAATTTTACGCTGATCAAGAATATATATATATATATATATATACTTTATGGGGTCGGAAATGATTATTTCGATGAGTTACAAATGGATAAAGAAAATTAATATACCCTCCATACTATGGTGAAGAGTATAAAAATATATTTTCCACAACCTATTTTGGCCTTAATTTGTTAAAAAAATATTTTTTTAATTTAATTTAATTTTTTAATTAAAAAAAAAAATATATTATATTTAACCAAACTATTCGTGGAGTATATAAAAAATATTTTTCTACATTAAATATAGACGTGGATTTTTATATCCTACACAACTATGTTGTCAGGATATTATAGCTTTGTACAGCCCCAAAAGTTTGTAACGCCGCGAAATATTGGTCCTAGACCCACCTTTAAGTATATCGA